ATAAACATTGGCTGAATAAAGGAAATAGACTACTCATGTCTAAATTTCCTCACTGATAAAATTTTATCTGTAGGATCCTCTTCCAATTTTAAATAGCTAATGAAACCCAATAAATCTATAAATTTTCTGAAATTCCTAGAAATGTTCTACTTTCAGATTACTTCTCTCTCCCCAGTATGATCTCAAACAAGTAAAAGCATTTTCACTAAGTATAAAAAATTGGTATTTTATAACCTGTGTAATATCCCATCATGCAAAGTGATTCCATAATTTTAGGTTATCCTAAGAAGCACACTTTTCTCAGTGATTGTATAAAAGCACGACTTCAGGGGCTGGTCCCGTGGCCTAGTGGTTAAGTTTGGTACGCTCTGCTTTGGGGGTCCAGTTTCAGATCCCGGGCGTGGACCTACACCACTCATTGGTGGTCATGCTGTGGCAGAGATCCACATACAAAAAAATAGAAGACTGGCACAGATGTTAGCACAGCGCAAATCTTCCACAAGCAAAAAGAGGAAGATCGGCAACGGAAGTTAGCTCAGGGCGAATCTTCCTCAGCAAAAAAAAAAAAGACAAAACACCATGACTTTAATTGATGACTCCAAGGTAATTTCCTGCATGCTTTATCTTCTATCTTTCTGGTAAGAAGGAAAGCTGGTCTATCTTTTTAGTATGTCAACAGAAAATTATTTTACTGTTAAGCAAATTAAAGAGATTCACAATAATACCCAAATTACCTCCAAATATTCTGATTCTCCCTCTTTGTACATGTATTTTTTTTTTGCCCAACTCAATTATAAACATCAGAAAGCTCTAGTCTAGAAATCAAGTCTCACTGGAAATTATGTCACTGTAGGTTAAGTGGGGACTCATACTATTACCATCTCTGAAATTTCAAAGCATAAGACCAAACTTTGTTGAAATAGATAGCATCTGATTGAGTAGAAACAATTATTAACAGTTCTCACTAATGTAAACATTGGGAAACAGCAGGGTTCAAGATCTCCTTTAAAGCAACAGAAGACAGGCTCATTTTATAATTGAAGAACAAAGTAATATAAAGTCACATTTTTATTCTCTGACAATTCAAATATAGAAGACTGTAGCACTGAGTTCTGGTGCCCAGGTACCAAGCATCACTATGGCAGCCGTCCACATTAAAATAAATAATTTATTAAACCAACTGATAAACCTTCAAAATTATCACTTACCTAGGACAAATAATTCATGACAAGAAACTGAGGTTTCTTTCTTTGGTTTTACATATCTCCTAGAGATGAGCTACGATAAGAAATTAAAACTATATAAGCTAGGAAAATAAATGATCTCATGATTTCTGCTTCCCAATAATCATCTATAACACTAATAAATAAAGTGAAGAAGCAAAGCCAAACACCATCAGCAGTTTAAGGCAGGTCCTATTTACTTGCTCTGCATTTCATTTTTACTCTGTAAATTTTCACCCTCACAAAAGTTAAGGTTCGGGTTTTCTTAAAGGAAGAGCTCTTTACAAAACCTGATGTTTTGTAAAAGATGGCTTGGAGTAATTGCTGAAACCCATAGCCCTGGTCATTCCAAGAATTCCAAGTAAACTATCTACAGTAGGACAAGCTGTTTTGTTGATTTTTATGTCCAAATAAAAACTCCATTTCACATATTCATTTTAACTGTGAAATATAGGTTTGACACAGGGGCTCACTGGTTAAGAGGTTCCTTTTCCACTTACTTTCTTCTTGAATTGATGGTAGCCACAATAATACCAACATATATAAACCTAACAATTTGATTTAAAAGGGTAATAAATTAAACAATATTTTCAAACCTATAGGCATATTACAAATTAATCTAGATGTCTGGAGTATGATTGTATCCCCAACTGCCTGGATTGAGTTTATATCCTAAGGCTACCCTTCACTGTGACCTGGGACACGTATTCATTCTGTACATGCCTAAATTTTAGCATCTATGACTGTGCCATATAATATGGTAGCCACTAGCCACATTTGGCTATTTAAATTTAAATTAAATAAAATTAAAAATTCAGTTCCTCAGTGGCACTTGCCACATTTCAAGGGCTCAACAGCCAGATGTGGCTAGAGATTACCATCTTGGACAGTATAGAGTGATGAAAATAAACAAGATGATATGATTGAGAGTAGCAAATGCTGTCAAGGGGGTAGGAGTGACTCTTTTAGATTAGATGGTCAGAAAAGGCCTCCTTGAGATGTTGACATTTGAGCTGAGACTTGAACAAGATGCAGCTAGCACACACAGATCCGCATACAGCATCCAAGGCAGAGACAAGCGCAAGGGCAAAGGCCCCAGGCACAAATGAGCTTGGCTGGTTCAACAGCAACAAAGTGTGCTGGAAGCATAGAAAATAAGGGGAGAGGAGCGTGAGGTGCAAGAAGTGGCAGGAGGCAGGGTCTCAAGGGCCTTGTAAACCATGTAAGAACTTGGGATTTTATATTAAGTGCAATTGAAAGCCATAGAGGCTTATAAAGAGGGGAACGTTATGATCTAAATTGTCATTAAAAGCTCACTCTGATTTTGGGAACTAATTATAAAAAACCAAGAGTGGAAGCAAGATCTGTTAGAAGACTGGTGCCATTGCCCAGATGAGAGAAGATGGTGATCTGGACCAGGGGAGTAGCTGTGGGATAGAGAAAATGTATTCTTTTTCTCTACATCCCTGTCTACAGTCCTATACCTACTATCTTCACAACATGGCTCCTTGCAGTAGTCAACTACTACTTCTTTTATTTTTTTGCTGAGGAAGATTGGCTCTGAGCTAACATCTGTGCCCTTCTTCCTCTTCAACTTCATTTTTTAACTCTTCAGTATCTTATAAATATGCTGTCTGCCCCCACCATTCCACCAAAACTGTCCTAAGGTCCCAGTCACCTCCACCTTGCCCAAACCAAGCACTTTTCTATCCTTATCTTAGCTGACCTCTGCTGCATTTGCAACTGCTGACCACTCTTCCCTTTCATCAAACTCTCTCCTCCCTTGGCTCCTGTGGCATTACTCTCAACTCATTTTCCTCCTGTTACTCTTTCTCAGTCTTCTTCCCATTAACCTCTACTTGACTCTTAAACTTCAGTGCTCCTCCAAGGTTACATCTTCACTACTCAGTTCATTTCACTACATACACAATCCTTGAGACTGAACTGACACTTTTGTGGGTAAGTCCCAAATTAATATCTCTGGCCCAGGGATCTTTACAAAGTTTTAGACTTCATCTAGTGTTTGACTGGACACCCCCACTTGGACACACCACAAACACTTAAAATGCAAAAGGTCCAATACCTACCTCCTTCATTCTCTCTCGTCATATACCCTGGCCCAAGCTAAAAGCCAAAGGCATCCTCAACTCCCTCTCGCTCACCAGCTACACCCCCTTCACCAGATCTTCACTAAATCCTGCAGATTGTACCTCCTTAATATCTTTCTAATCCAGCTCTTCCTCTCAAGTCCTGCTGAGATTATTTTAATTCAAGCTCACATCACTTCCTGCATGGATTATTGGAAATCTCTCAACCCATTTTCCTGTTTCCTATCTCTCCTCTACATTGCTGCCAAAACACATAATAGGTATTCAAAACTTTTGTTGATTACACTGAGACAAATCTGACTATGTCATTTCTCTGCTTCAAGTCTTTGAGAGCCACCTACTACATCTATTACTTTCACAAGGCTTCTCATGATGGAGCTCCTTATCACCTTTACAGTCTCATCCCCCCACCATCCCCCTCAGATCCTCCTCTTCAGCCATTCAGCTTCTCTTAGTTCTCTAAATATCATGCCATTTCAGGCCTCCCTTCCTCTGTGCATGCTATTACCTCTCTCTTATTCACCTAACTACTACTTCGAGGAAGTGTCCCCTAGTGCCATATATACACATACATACACACACACACACACACACACACACACACACATCTCTCAATAATACTATCCAGGAGCTCTTTATTTGTCCCAACAAACTATAAGATCCTAGAAGGCAGAGACCACCAACCTTATTTGATATGCAGCACTAGTGATTGGCAGAGTAAATATTCATAGTTTTGACTTGATATCTTCCAAATTGAAAAAAGGGGGAGGAGCTTATTTAGAGGGATAAAAATCACCATTCCAGTATAGCACAAAGTGACAGCACTGTACTACAAAGCCAAAGGCGCTTCAGACTGGAAATATGAAGAAACCAATAAACACAAAACACACACCCTTTCAATAGGAGAAACGTAGGAAATTCTGAGGAACTATGCAGAATCTAACAAATTAGACTGGGGATTTTATACTACGTGGGCAAGGGCTTACTTAGCACTGTTTGATAATAATAATAGGTGGAAGGCTTCTCATCTTAATAAAGCAAATTAACTTTTCATGGCCATGTGTAGACTCTCGCTCACTTCCTGACAGGTTATTTTCTTTATTTGGGAGACGCTTACTCACCCCCTTAGGAGTCACTTATCGTCAATCAGTCATTTATTCTCTAAATCTGAATGGGGGAAAGGGCTGAAAGAAGGGAGCCTATGGGCGATAATAAACACTTTCGGAAGAGGAGGCAGCAGAAGGCCACAGTCCCAGGGACGGAGGAAAGTGGGGGTTGAGGCAATACCAGGGTAGAGCGCTGACAGCTGGCGAGGAATGGAGGGGAGGATGCGATCTCGGAGCAGGCAGGAGGGAACAGGGGACCCCGGGTTGGAGGGAGAGGGCAATGGAGAAAAGACTCCGAAAGAAAACGGGGGGGGGGGGGGGGGGGGACGGGCAGAGACCAGAGGAAGGAAGATGCAGTTTGGGGCCAGAGGGCGGAGTGGCTTAGGATAAAGCTGGGGCAAGAGGAAGACAACACCGACGCTGCCAGGGCGGACGGGGCTTTAGGACGAGGAGAGCAGGGGATCGTCCCAGAGCGAAGAGGGAAGGCGCGGGGGGGCAAAGGCCGGAGCCCCGAGCCCGCCAGGCAGAGCCGGGGAACGGAGCGGCGAGGCGGGGGCACTTACTGGGGTCCCTCCATACGGCGCCGCTGGGGGTCTCCTCCCGCAGGTGAGGGAAGAGGAAGTCCCGGGCGGCCTGGAGGTCCTGGAAGTAGCAGAACTGGACAATGGAGCAGGCCATGGCCCCAGGGAACCCGCTCGGGCACTGCCCTCACCTGCCCACGCCCTGCCCCCCGCCGCCCCTCGGCCACCACCGCCAAGCCCGGACAGCTTCAGCCACGCAGGGGCGGGGAAACCAGACCGGAAGCCGTCAGCGCGCTCCGTCCGCCGCCCCGGCGCACTGCGCAGGCGCAGGACGGCCCGGGCGCCCGGGCTGGCGCGGTCGGAGTCATGTGACCAGCGGCCGCCCGGGGCCCGCAGTCGACGTGGAGACGCCTGGGGTTCGCCTTCAGTGCAGGTTCTGCGCCTACAGCTGGAAATGAAGCCTTGATTCATTCTGGCTTTTAGCCAGAGATGATCTAATTGGCCGTTGTCCGCGCCGGCCTTTGAGTCGTTTAACCAATCTTATTGATGTCCTCCTATTGGCACGATCCTGAGATTTCACAGAGAATAAGCCCTGTTAAACTAGCGGCAGGCGAGTCGGGGACGGTATCATGCAAGTCTCGGAGTTTGAAAAGATTAATTTCTCTTCTGGAAATCAGCCCCGTCAAGGCTAGCTTTAAATGCTCCTCCTATAAATTCTGATAGTACTATGCACGCCTAATACAGTCCTTGTTATACTGCATTATACTCTTGTTTTCCGCATATTTGATTTTTCATTCATTCGTTCATCCATCCATTCAACAAATGTTTGTTGCTCGTCTTTTCTATGCCAGCCGCGCAAGGCGCTGAGTATAAAGCAGACAACAAAAGAGATGAAATGCTTGTTCCCATGAAGCTAAAATTCTAGTGGCTGACACAGGTAAGCAATTACTCAACTATTTCACTGAAATTATGATAATGCTAGGAAGGAAAGTAGTGCGAAGTGCTGTGAGAGAACATAGCGGGAATCTGACTTAGTTTTTTGTTTGTTTTGTTTTGTTGGGGTGGGAGTGGAGGGTTGCCAGGATCAGGAACAGATTTGGCTGTGAACTCGTGGAGACTGGGTTCTCATTTAACGCCATTTTATATCCACAGTATCTAGCATAGGACCCGGCACACAGTGCTTAATAAACATTTGCTGAAGGAATACATGGAATGGAATGTGTACAGAAAGTAAATAGAATAACCCACTTCTTTTACAAAGCACTTTATATTTTTTAAACTACTTTTCCGTACATGGTCCTATTAGTCACAATGTCATCTTGAAAGTGTCTTATCTCAGTTGTTTTAATAAACAAATTTATCTGTGTCCCTGAGAAGACTCTTAAAGTCCATTTACATTATTTTTCTAAAAAGTAAAAACCAAAAAAGGAATTATTTTAATGTTAGTACAAAGCACGGTAGACACTCTTATACTTCCCAAAGGAAACCTAAAGTGGTCGTCCACTTTGTCTTACAGAAAATGGAACAGAAATAAATTGAAGGCAAATAGATAAAGTCCAGAGCATTCATTTCTGTCAGGCCTGTATATATACTTAGTCCTACTAATATAACAACTATAATTTAGTGCCCAGGTTCCTACTCCATTAATTCTTATTTCTAGGGTAGAATGATTTTTACAAAATAGGATGGGTAATTTCTCTGTTATCAGGTTAACAGGCATCAGTTCCTCACCTATAAAATATACGGTTGGATTAGATGTGCTATAAGATTCCTTAAGCATCAGAGACCTGTAATTCTATGATCAAAAAGTGTTCCTTTTTTCCATCTGGAAAAATACAGAGCTTCCTCAGATCATCCAGTCCTGATGATTAAATCCTAAAACATGGCGCCAGTACCAAACTAGAATAAAATTTAAATTTAGATTCTTAGCTTGACAGGATGAATAACGAACACATGACACTTTTTGGAAGGATAAGATGTCATTCCTTGAAAACCATTCAAGTTCCTATTCAGGTAAATGCATTTTGAGGAAGTAACTGCCCTTGGCTGATTCAGCTGGCCTTTGTTCTGTCCTGAGGCATTCATATATCTCCTGTGCGGAGGCCATTGAATTTCGTTACTGCTCAGTTTCGATGGTGACGTCCCTGACTTCCTTCCAAGTGCTATTGAAAAGGCTCATTCATTAATGCTTTTAAGAACTTTAGATACCCTTCGCAGAAATTACAACACATTCATGAACTGAACTCTTCCCCCAGGAAGTTGTAAAGCTGCCGGGGCATGCTTCTGGAGTTCTGCTGCCATGGTTTCTGGGGAGTGTGGGAGGACTGTGTTAGACGGTGAATATCACTAACCACACAGTCATGAGAAAGCGCACTGCAGAAAATGTGCAGGCTTTGCATATCCCAGCATAGGCAGTGTCTCTCTGCAGTATAAGTTCAGGAGCTAGGAAAAGCACTGTGACCAAAATAATCAATGAAGGATACTAATGTGAACTCTCTCCAGTATCCGGTATTGTGTGTTAGAGCACTGATAGAGCACTGATAACTGTTAAGAGAGAGATGCTTACTGAGCATGGTTAGCAGCAGGTCCTTGCCAATCTTTAACAGCAGCCTGAGGCTGAAGGTGTTGAGTTACAGGATGGGCAGGAAAGTGTGAAAGAAAGAGTAATGGACTTGGAGTCAGGAGACCTGGGATCTGTCTCAGCTCTGCCACTAAATTGCATAAACTTGGGCAATCCATGTCATCTTCCTGGGCCTTAGTCTCTTGATCTAGAAAGTAAAGAGACTGGATTCTGAAGTCCATCCCAGGGATGTTTAGATATTGGTAAGAAAACTGGAAAGGAAAAGGTCTGGGTGTTGGATTTGCTCAAAAGGAGTGGCCTATGTCAGCACCCCAGTAAGAGGCCTGAGTGGGCAGGGGTGAATGTGAGGGCACTGAGCATCTCTAAGTGAAAGAAAGGAGAGCAGAGAAAGGGGATGGAGGGACGCTGAAGCTTTACCTCCTAACTTTGCTGAGGATCATCCTTGAATTGAAGTCTGAATTGAAGTGTGAGAAGATGCAAGGGCTATATACAGCTAGTTTTCATTCAACAAACATCCATGGAAGATAACTTTTTTTTTTTTGAGGAAGATTGGCCCTGAGCTGACATCTGTTGCCGATTTGCCTCCTTTTGTTTTTTCTCCCCAAAGCCCAAGTACATAGTTGTATATCCTAGTTGTAGCTCCTTCTAGTTCCTCTTATGTGGGACACTGCCTCAACATGGCTTGATGAGCGGTGAGTAGGTCCGTGCCAAGGATCTGAACCGGCGAAACCCGGGCAGCAGAAGCAGAGCGCATGAACTTAACTTCTGTGCCACCAGGCCGGCCCCATATAACATGTATCTTATTATACTAAAGGTGCTTTGGTGAACACAGTGAGTTGATAAGGACGAGCCCTCCAGAGACTCACTATCTAGCTGGAGAAACAGATGAACACAAATAACTCTAACAAAAAGCAGAGTGTGATGACTACCATGGGTGACTTTTGGTACTCATAAAGGTCTGTGGGAGAAATTAGAGAGAGAGTAATTTTGATTGCTAGGCTTCTCCTGTGGAAAAGTAGTAGTAGGGAAGAGGTAAGAAAGGCGATAAACAGATTGGTTCCAGATAATAGAGAACCTCGAAGTCCAAATAGTATAATCTGAGTTTTATTCTGTGTGCGAGGTGTAGCCAAGTGAAGATTTTTTTGGAAGAGGTAGGACACGATGGGGTAGCAGATGTGGCATGACCAAAGGCAGAGAAACACCTCAAGATGTCATAGCAGTATTCTAAATGACAACGGAAGTAATGACAACGGAAAGGCACTGCTCTGGAGGCTGAATCAATGGATTTTTGGTATATGATTAGATATGGATGGAGGAGGGAAGATGAGACCCAAGATGGTCTTCAAGTGTTCAATTTATAGAACTGGAGAGATGGCAGTGTCATGTCAGCAAAGAACATAGAGAACACAAAAGGAGGAATGGATTTGGGGGCAAACAGGAATAGGATGAATTCAGTATTGGATTTGCTAAATTTGAAGTGCCTGTGGAAAAGCTAGGTTTAAAAAAAAAGTTTTTTGTTTTTTGTTTTTTGTTTTTTTTATAAACAGAAATTAGAGATGTGGAATTAGAGAGGCCAAAGCTAGAACCTCGCTGTGGAAGTCATGCACAGCAGTTGTATTGAAGGGAGAGGATGAAAGTACCACCAGACTCCACATGGGGTGGGAGAAGGATTGGGCTGGGAATCAAGCTGGGAGGACTATTTTTTTTAGGGGTAGATGGAGGAAGAAACTCTGGTAAAGGAGATTCAAAAGAAACAGTCAAAGAAATCAACCATACATAGTAGGACCATGTCACAGAGGCCAATGGAGGGAGAAGAAAATTTCACCAACAGGTGAATCTATTGTGTTGAATTTGATAAAGAATTTAAGGGGAGCGAAGGCTGAAAAGAAGTGATTGCGTTTAGTAGGTCCGAAGTCACAAGGGATTATCCAACGTGCAGAACAACCAAACTGTTTCCTTGGCAGAAAATTTGTAACCTCTCTTCAGAAGTGGGTTATTTTTCTAACAGCCACAGAGGCTAGCTGTGGCAATCTTTGTCTTTAACTCTGGCTAAAGGAGAAACTTTTTAGAAAGGGAAAGAAGTTTTCTTTTTGCTGGCATTTACCAATTATGAAACTAAGAACTAACTACACTGAACATTGTGTTTTATTACTTTTTTGAATATAAGAAATGTGTTTATATTTTCAGTATTTTCCAATATTTATATTGGGCCAAAATCTACTTTATAATGGCAAAAGAAAAGAAGACATTAGCATAGTTAGCGCAGACATATACATGCTAGTGCTTTTAAGTCTCCTTCTTCTTATTTGTGTCTGTCTGCTGTTAACTTTTTTTTGAGATATAATTGACATATAACATTATATAAGTTTCAGGTGTACAACATAATGATTCGTTATTTATATTGCAAAATGATCATCTCAGTAAATCTAGTTAACATCCATCACCATACTTAGTTACAAAAATTTTTTTCTTATGATGAGAACTTTTAAGACCTGCTCTCTTAGCACTTTACAAATATGCAATATAGTATTATTAACTGTAGTCACCATACTGTACATTACATTCCCATGACTTATTTATTTTATAAATGGAAGTTTTACCTTTTGACCCCCTTCACCCATTATGCCCACCCCTCACCCCCAAGCTTTGGCAATCATCAATCTGTTG